CTGAGTTTGGTTCCATCGAGGCCCAAACCCGGGTCTCAGAAACATGGAAATGGAGGCCACACACCCAGGGTCACCGGGCTCCAGTTACACGAGGCTGGCACCCCAAGACATTCCGGGCCTGTCCCCACTGTGTCCTCCTGTCCCCACGAGCCTCCCCAGGGCCCTACAGACCGCAGGACAGGGTCTGGGTCCCGGCTCCCCGGCTCCCTCCAACGTCCCCACCTCCAGGAAGCCCTCCTGGTGGCCCTGGGTGAAGTTGGTCCCCTGGCCGTCCTGGGTCAAAGTGTGATCTGTCCCTTTTTGGGGACTGTCATGGAGAAAAGCCAAGCTCTCCATACTCCGCACTCAGAAGAATCCCCGCTACAGGTCTCAGGAGCAGCCCGGCTCCTCCCCAGGGCTTTTCCCAGGTCCCCTCCTCTGGGCCACACCCTTCTGGAGGTGACAACTACAGGCTCTACACACAGACATCCCTCTGCCGCCCCCTTTTGCTCGCTGTGTGACCCCAGACAAGTCACTGAACCTCTCTGGGCCTCTTCACTTCCCCTTCTCTAGACTGGAGCTCACCCTCGCCCTGTTCGGTTTCTGGGGTTGTCAAGTCTGTGCAGAGGGCGCTTCCGGTCCACCCCACAGTCTAACTCGGATCCTCCTGAAAAACAGCAGTCACCAGGCCCCGCAAAGCAGACTTGGCGGAGGGTGATGGTGCAGGGGCTGGCGGCCACAGTCTCTGCTGAATGTCCCCGGGCCACCCCCCACTCTTCCCATTTTACAGGTGGACAAATACAGGCCCAGAGAGGCTAAGCGACCCGCTCCAAGCCCCAGTCAGGAGCTGCGGAGGTGGATTGGACTCTGGGGGGTTGGGCGAGGTCCCCAAGACCCAGCTGTCACCACCCCTGGGCCTGCCTGGGTCCAGAAGGCCTTTGCTGTGGGAGTCTCGAGGGTGGTGACCGGTCCTCCGTCCAACCCGCCCTGGACACGAGATCATGCTCCGGGGCAGAGGGTCAGTCCAGCCCCAGTGTCCAGCATGGCCCTGGCTGGCTTGAAAGTCCCCACCCTGATGTCCATATTGAAAGGGACTCGTCACCTCATCCATCAAATGCCCTTTGGACCTGAAGGGCCTTGGCCTCTGCAGATGTCCCAGTTGGCCTCACCTACTCGGTCTACCTGAGGCCCGCCTGGAGGCCCGATCACAGGGACCGTGAGTGTTGGCACAGTGTGTCACCCTGAACCTGGGACCAGAGCTGCAGCATCCCCACCCTTTTTATTTTATTTTGAGACACGGTTTTGCTAACCTGTGGAGGCTGGCCTCCCATTTGCGATCCTCCTGCCTCAGCCTCCTGAGCTGCTGGGATGACAGGCAGGTGGCCACCTCACCTGGAGAGTTAAGGGACAGTAACCACTCCCGATCCGTCTCTTCAGGCTACAAGGTCATGTCCCCAACCCTTCTCCTCAATCCCACCAAGGGTCTCTGCTTGCTTGCTCTTGGCCACGGGGAGCTCACTCCCAGCCCCCAGCCTAGCTCCAAAATAAAGCCCATTTTGAAAAGTCCTCTCCCCGGCCACCCCCACCTGGCATTTTTGGACCCTAAATTGGTGCAAAAAATACCTTTCCTGATGCCACGCACATGGCCACCCACCACATGCCAGTTTGGAGTCAGTCTGGAGACGGTTCCCACCTTCACTATAAAAAGCCACCTTGGAAACGGAGCTGCCCGCCGGCTCTGGCTTTTGGATTTAAATAGACAAATAGGATGGTCACTCGGGTGACCAGGCCCAGCCAGGAAAGCCAGGCCACCCGGGCCTGGGAGGAACGGGATTGTGGGCCCCGGAAGCCCCAGAGCCGAGCCTGCCACCTGTCCTGCAAGGACACTGGAACCCCTCTGCCTTGGTGCCACCTCAGGCTGGGCTGGCCCACTGTGTCCCCAGCTGCAGCCCAGGGTCTACCCAGGGCCTGGCACATAGTAAGTGCTCAAGAAATACTTACAGGAGGATCAAGGGATGTCTTGTCTGGAAGGTGGTACCCCCAGTCCCCCTCCGCCCTCCGTGCAGCCACCCCACCTTCTCACCAGCCACCTGGGGACTTTCTAGAATATTAAAGGTCATTCGAGCACGCGGTGGTGCATGCCTGTCATCCTAGCAGCTCGGGAGGCTGAGGCAGGAGGATTGCAACTTAGAGGCCAGCTGCAAACTCGGGTGCGGGGCACTCAAATCTCTACACATATTATCTCATTTAATTCCCCACAGCAATCCTCGATTCTAAGGAGGAAGAAACCCAGAGGGCCATATCCCTCCTCTGCCTAAAACACTCTATGGCTCCCTATGGCCTGGATCAATCCAGCCTCCCAATCTGGCCTCCGGGCTCCTAGCAGCCCTTGGCTCTTTCTCTGTCCACCTGCTCGGAGGCCCTTGGTTCCTCCAGCCTCCTGGCCACATCCCGTCCCCAGGCCCTTTGGTAGGAGTTTCTCACTTCTCGTCCCCCTCCCCAGTTCCTGCAGGTGTGGCCCAAGTTCCTCTTGGTCATCTCTCCACCTTGGCCTTGACTCCATCTCCCCCCGGGGAAGCCCCCTCCGTCCACGTCCCCGCTTCATGGCACACAGCCCCCTCCACCTCCCTGCAATGTCAGTGAGGGCCGAAACAGAGTCCCCCAGGGGTCCCCGAGAGCACACAGGGACAGCATACAGCAGGGGCTTAATGAATGTTTTATGCCCGTATCCGTCTGGGGGAGCTACAGAACAAACCATGGGAGGTCAATGTGTGCTGACCAGGAGCGAGTCCAGCCTGTGCTCATCACACCCCGTGAGGTGACAGCAGCAGCAAAGGCAGCAGCAGGTGCCTGCAGAGGCCTGGCCACCCACTGAGGCCGGCCTCCAACTTGCGATCCTCCTGCCTCAGCCTCCTGAGCTGCTGGGATGACAGGCGTGGGCCACCGTGTCCCAGGCCTAAGACAACCCCTGGTGAGAAAGTTTGTTTTTTATCGAAACTGAAATTCAGGAAGATTACGTGGCTTGCCCAAGGTCACCCAGCTGGGAAAGGACAGAGTGGAATTTGAGTCGGGAGCAAAGTTTAAACTTTTAACCTGTAACTGGGGGTGACCTGGAAAAAATGTCATGGGCCACCTCTACCTGCCCTTGCTGGGGACCCAAGTCTGGGGTCTCGGGCACTTTTAGGGGATATGTCAAGGGCCACTGGCCTGTGGCCAGAGCCAGGCCCGGAGACACAGAGGGGGTGGCCCAGAAGGCCTTGGAGTAGGGAGGGGACCTTGGTCAGCTGCCCCTGGGGCCCTGTCCCCTGGAGAGGCCCTGCCCCCTAGGGAGTAGGAAGTCCAGCCTCTCTCAGAAGAGTGAGTCACTGCACCAGGCCAGGGAGGGGACAGGGGACCGTGAGAACCAGGACACTTCTTGCCAGTGCGGGAGGGGAGTCTGCCAAGGCCGGAGGGATCCACCAGTGGCCCCACACAGGGCTGGACCCTGCCCACGGAGGCCTGGGGGATGTCCCCAGCTCAGCCCGGCCAACAGGGCTTCCTGCCTCCTACGACCCAGAGATGGCCGCCTGGGGCCGGAGAGTGGGGGCCTTCTGAGTCCCAGCCCTGCACGGCCAGCCCTGAGCCCAGCAGGGTGTGGAGCAGCCCCCTAGGACAGTGTCCCCACTCACCCCCTGGGACCCTTAGCTTCACGGGGGCCCAGCAGGGAGGTGGCAGCCCCTGGGAGCCAAGCTGCAGAGAAGGAAACTGTTGACTCAAAGCCGCGCAGGGAAGGATGAATCTTGGGACATCCTTGTCACACAGCCCCGGGACCACAGAGAAGGGAAGGGGCAGGGCCCCAATGGGGGGGAGGGACTCCCAAATTTCCAGGAGGAGGAGTTCAGGGCTGGGGGACTTCAGAGTGTCTTTTAAAACGGGGATCCCCAGACTCGCCCCCCTAGACCCCTCTGTCGTCCCCACAATGTCAACACACACGCTAGGTCCCTAACCTGGCCTCCGTGCCACTGCCAGGCCCAGCCTCAGACATTTGGATCCCGTCCCTCTGTCCTCATTCAGAGCCCTAAGACCTTCAAATCCCTGTCCACCCGCTCCATTGTCCTGTCCCCTGAATCTGCCCACCCCAGCAACGAAACCTCCACACTAAGAGATCAGAGATCCTGTGTTCAAATCCCACCTCTGCCAGTTCCCAGCTGTGTGTTCTTGAGCAAGTTACTGAACCTCCCTGTGCCTGTTTTTTTTTCATCTGTAAAATGGGAATGAGACTAGAGGATCGTTGTGAAAACAAAGACAGCATGACACGTGATGGGCTTAGGAGCTCCTCCTGGAGTGGCACTGTTTACCCTGGTCTGCCATGCCTGGTCCATACTAGGTGTTCATTAAACATTTCTTAAATGAGTGAATTAAAAAGTAGTCTCAGGAGCAGACCTGTTAGCCAAACATGCAGCTTCCCCAGAGAACCAATGGGTTCCCCAAATACCAGCATCCTCTGCCACACACGTCCCACAGCCCGTCTTGCCCTGAGTCCTGCGGGCCCCTTGTAGGTGGCACACATCTGGTGCCCACGTCTGCCAAGGCTCAATGGTAAAGGCTCCCAGGGCCATGTCAGCACGCACCTCTGCTCAGGCACGCACCGGGGACCCTGCCCTCCAACCCGGCACCACGGGGCTGTGCGGGCACCTTTGGCTCTTTGCAGCGAGCGTCTGCGTATCCGTGGCCACCTGGGGCCCTCCCGGTGCAGGCACAGGGAGGTCCCGCACCTGTGACCCAGCACTCAATGCAGTCCCTGCGGGCTGCCCATGGGGGGGGGGCCGTTAAGGTCATCCGCAGTGGCCCCTCGGTGCACACCTGGATCTCCCCGTGCAGCCCCGGCTCCCGGCCCAGAGTGCACACCTGGATCCCCGCACACGCACATCTGGGCCTCGGCAAGGTCCCATCTGCGACCCGCTGCGCGCTCCCCGTTCGCAGGCTCCCCCTGCAGAGAGGCTCCCCGGCCGGCTCCCCGCGCCCCCGGCGCCCGGGCGTACCTGGATGTTGCGTTTGCTCTCGCAGGAGGGCCCGGTGCCCTGCACCACGCTGTCCAGCACGGCCACCACGTCGGGCGCGGGCTCCACGAAGCACGCGGTGCGAGCGGCGCGGATGGCGGCTTGCACGTCGGCGAAGCGGAAGGCGCAGAGCGCCGCCGGAGCCGCTCGGGCCGCGGGGGTCCCCTGGGGCCGCTCGAAGACGGCGAAGAGCAAGTCGCGCGCGGGGAACACGGACACCAGGCGACTGTAGAGGTCGCCGCGACCCGCGCCGCCCGCGCACTGCAAGCCCAACTGGATGTAGGACTCGGTGAGCTTCTTGGCGTCGCCCCCGGCGCCGCGGGGCAGGCAGATGCGCGCCAGCAGGCTCCGCGCCTGGCTCTCCTTGTCGCCCGCGCGCGCCTCGCTGTTGAGCGCCAGGTACGCGTAGGACGGCGCGGCCCGCGGCGGCTCGGCCGGGTGCAGGAAGGCGCGCACGAAGCCCAGCTTGTGCTGCTCCTTGGCGCCCTGCTTGATCTTGAGGATGTTGTCGTCGGACGGGTTGAGGTCGAAGGTGAAGAGCTTGGCCAGGTCGCCGCGCGCGTCCAGGGAGCGGATGGCGATCTCGGGCGTGTTCTCGAAGCGGTGGTCCTCCAGGCTGCGGTTGCGCGGGAAGTAGGCGCTGCCGTAGCCCGTGTACGTGGCGCCCACCAGCAGGCGGCTGCCCCCCGCGCCCGCGGCCGGCGGCAGCAGCAGCCCCACGGTGGACGCGTTGGGGTGGTTGGCCGCCACGTTGAGCATGCTGGGGAACACGGTGACCGGCTCGGCGGGCGGCGCGGCGGGCGGGAAGGGCACGGCCACCGCCGAGATGTTGCCCCGGCGCCGCAGCTGGCAGAAGCCCTGGTAGATGGAGCCGCACACGACCACCAGGCCCTGGCCCGGGTCCAGCTGCAGGATCTTGTTGTAGTTGTCGGTCAGGCGCCGCGGGTGCTCGCACGAGGCCTGCGGGAGCTGCGGGGCGTGACACAGCGGGCTGTCGGCCACCGGGCCCACGGCCGCCTCGGCCTCCAGGCTCAGGTTGGCCCCCGACAGCTGGTACAGGCGGTTCACGGCCGCCAGGTACACGGTGCCCGCCGCGCCGTCCAGGGCGAAGTTGTTGGTGGGCGTGGGCGACGGGAACCGGCGCTGGATCTCCAGGGCGCCGACCCGCGCCGCCCCCAGGAGCAGCAGCAGCAGCAGCGGCGGCGGCGGCGGCGGCCGGGACAGCGGGCACCTCTGGGGGACCGGGCGCGGCGGGGCGCCGAGTGGCGGGCGCGGCGGCAGGGGGCTGGCCGCGGCGGCCCGGGCGCTAAGGGGTGCGCCGCCCGCGGCGCGACGAGCCATCCAGGCGTGCGCGGGCTGCGCGGCGCGGCGAGTGCATGGGGCGCGGCGCGGCCGGGAGCCGGGAGCCCGGAGGCGGCAGGAGGCGGGGGGCGGGCCCGGGCCGCGAGGCGCTTCCTGCCCGCGCCAGCCGCCCCCGGCCCCGGCGCCCCGGCCCGGCTCAGCAGCGCGGCACAGCCCGGGGGCGGGCCCGCGCCGACCACGCCCACGCCCCGCCCCAGCGCTCGCCACGCCCCGCCCCGCGCTCGCCCCGCCCACGCCCCGCCCGAGCGCTCGCCACGCCCCCGTCGGCGCGGCCGCCCCGCCCCGCCCCGCCCTGCCCCGGGCTGTCGGAGGGTCGCGCCGCCCGCGACCTCCGGGACCTCGGCGACGCGCCTCGCCCGGGTCGCCGGCCCCTCGCGCTCCTCCCTCCCGGCCCGTGTCGCCGGCGCTTCTCGCCCTCCCTGTCTGGGTCTCTGTCCCCACTTCTCGCTCCGAGCGCGCGTCTCCGTCCCCCACCCCGGACTCCCCGCGGGCGGAGTGTCGCCTCCTCTCAGTTCCCGCCCCGCTCCCCGGTCCCCGCCAGCCCCACCCCTCCGGGCTCCCTGGTCACAGCCCCACTTAACCCACCCCCATCTCACGCCCTCTCTACCCCGGTCCCCTCGGTGCCCCGGGCACTGTCCAGGCCCAGCACCCTGAAGGCCACAGCTGGAGCGGGGACAGCCACCCCTGGGTCCTGTGATTCCCCGCCCCAACCCCAGCCCTGCAGAACGGACTTGTGAGCAACAGGGACAGGGAGCATTTCTGCTGGGGCAGGAGGGGGCTGGGCGGGCGCTGGTCCTGGGACACAGGGACCCTGGGAGGGTCTCCTGGGCCCTTTCTGATGTCCAGGACTCTAGAAGGATCTAAGTCCTCCCAGACTCTGAGGGCCACCAGCCACACACCAGCTGGCCCTGGAACCCTCTCCTCTGACCTCCAGGTGGCCCTTGGGGTCAGAAGCAAGTGCTGAGATCCCGAGATCCCAGCCCCTAGAGGGCCATCCTCGGCCTGTGGCTCACGGTGGGTGCTCTCGCCCAGGGCTGTCCCTGGCCAGGCACCGTGTGGCCCGTGCTTCACCGGCGTGGGCACCCTCTGGCGCTGGGACTGGCATTTCCAACCTGTAGTTAGGAAACAGAGGCCCCAGGAGCCAAGGGCCAGCCCCAGATGCAAGCTCATCAGGGACAGATCTATGTGTCCAAAGGCCCAAGGCCACCAGCCCTGAACTCTTGAATCTCCCATCAGACCCCCAGCTGCCACAGGGTGCCTGGTGGCCCTGGCTCTGGGGGGTGGCCCTGGCAGTCAGGTAGGAAGAAAAGTGCGGGGTTTCCTATGTGTCCCTGGGGTCAGCAGTAAAGGCTGGGTCCATAGCCACCATGTCCCTGGGGGAAGGGTCACTTCCTGCCACTTGTGGGAGCCACTGAGAAGCCTGGCGGGGAGGGGGGGTCTGTCTTGATGGCCTCCCCCCAGCCCTCTCAGCCCTCCCTGCACCCCCCACCCCTCTACCTCTGTCCCTGTCTCTCTTCTCGGTCTCTATCCCCCCTCCCTCCCTCTCGTCTCTTTCCCTCCCCTTCCTGGTCTCTCTCTCTCTCTCTCTCTCTCTCTCTCTCTCTCTCTCTCTCTCTCTCTCTCTCTCCCTCCCTATCCCCCACGCCTCTCTCCCTCTCTGGCCCCTCCCTGCTTCCTGCTCCTCATGCCGCATCCTGCAGCTCCCCCCACCGAGCTTGCAGAATAATGCTCTGTGGCGTCTCAGCTCAGCCCTGCACACCATGGATGGCTCCAGGCGCTTTGGACACCAAACTCCCCGCTAAATTGGAGGCTGGGACTCAGGAGCCACTCCAGGTTGGGAATATCTGGGGCTTGGTTAGACTACCGGAGCTTGAGTATTGCATGAACTGAAGGTAGGAAGTGCTGTGTGGCCTTTGGCAAAGAACTTGCCATCTCTGAGCCTCCCGTTTCCTCAACTGTAAAACAAAGACAGTCATAATAACACACCCTGGGAAAGCTGCGAGTCTTGAAGTATTAACAGGAAGCCCAGGTTTGGGACAAGTGCCAGTTTCTTTCCCCTGGAGTAATGGCCCCCAGGACCCGTGTTAGAGCTCAAGAGCAGAGAGAGGCCAGAGGATTGCCATTGAAGTCCAGGGTCCCAACTTCTGTCTTGAACCCGAGCCCCTAAGGACTAACCCCCACACTATCTCATCCATCCTCACAGCCAAGTGACAATACGGGTGTCACCGGACTCATTCATTGAGCAGATGAGGAATTACCAAGGTGAAGATTCTATGCTCCGCCCTTTAGCTGGGACCTCCTTCAGGTCAGGATGGATCAGGGTGGCAGCCTCCCAGCCTCCCTGGCTGGACAGAGTAGAATTGAAGGAAGGATCACAGCCACATCTCCTGGCCACGGGGTGTCCTCCCAGGAGAGACCACAGGGAGACAGATGGGACTCGAGCCAGGGGTTCTGGGAGACCCAGCGCTAACGAGCCCTGAATTAGCCAACCCGGGTTCACCCGCCCTGGCACATGATGAGCTGAGGCCGGTCCCCCTGAGACTCTAACTGCCGATCAGATCAAGGGAAGGTCTCAGTCTGGAGCTAACACAGCCTTTAATGACTCGCTCACATTTGTCACTGTTCCTTTTTAATGGAAAGAAGGTCTGCAGCTCAGGGCGAGGGCCATCAGCTTTCTGATGCTGGGATTTGCAGCGAGTGTAGACGTCTTTGGAAAGTGAGTTCATTTAAAGACAGACTCCCAGGGGGTCGGAAAGTGTCCCCAATTTAGGAATGTGCGGAAACATCCAGTGCTTTGGAACACGGGGACGCGGTGGCCCACAGAAGGGCATGTCCCGGGCTGCAGCGTCCAAGGCCAGGGGCCGGGCCTCTGTGCACGGTCCCCCCAACCTGCTGTCTGTCCTGGGGGGGGGGACAGGGAGGAAGTGTTTTTCTTCTTGAATCAGAAAGAATAACAGCGAAGGCCAGCACTGGGCCGAGGAGGGGCTCCTGCCCTGGCCTCCTGCCCTGGCCTCCCTTGGGCTCGGCCTCTGAGATTGTTTTCTCAGCAGGAAATGCTCCTGACACTTGTCCACAGGAAGGTTCTAGAAACAGAATGCTCCAGGGCGGCTTGGTGCCCCCAGCCAGGGGGCCTGGACAGAGCTAGGAGCCGTCACTGTTGCTTCTGGGGGGGCCTTACCCGTCTCGTTCCCTCCTAGAAGCAACCCTGAGAGACGGGTTGTTACGAGACCCATTTTACAGATGGAGAAACAGGATCAGAGACACACCACCACTTGCCTGCAGCGGCACAGCTCTTCACCACTTCGCCCCCTCCTGCCCCTTGCCTTGGAGTGGAGACGCCTGAATTCCAGGCCCTGTTCTGGGTCTGAGCTGGGTGGCGCTGCCTCTCCGTGAGCCTCAGTTTCCATATCCGGGAGACGGGACTGCGGTTCATGTCACCGGTGACAATGGTGGGAACATGTCAACGCACCCAGCGGTTGCTGCTAAGGATGTGGCCATCTGTGCAGGGCGCCAGCAAGGGCTTTGACACACATCAACCCACGTGAGCCTGCGCCTTGACTTCCTCCCTTCTCCTCCTAAAGGCTCAGAGAGGCCTACCAGCCTGCCTGAAGTCACACAGCAATTAGGTGACCTCTGCCCACTTCCCTGCCTCCCCTTGCTCCTCCACATTGGGTCTGTGGTCACTGCCAACGTCACTCCCCAGGGTGAGCCATGAGGGCTGGGGTGACCCTGCAGCCACAGTGCCTGTCACACTGATGGGATCATACACAATCTTGGCTGCTGTTGTCCCCTTGGGGTGTCCTTGGCTCCGCCCCTGGGTTCTGGAGTGTCCCCTTCCCTGTCTGCTCCGGATGCCACCCGCTGGGACGGGGCTTTCCAGGGTGGCTGGGAGGGAGGGCGAGGAGCCCAGCCCCCTGAGTCCCCTGTGTCCCTGGGGGTGAGGTGGCGGGGCCTCGTTCCTGCTGTGAGCGGTGCCCTCTGTGGTCAGGGGCGGGGACCGCGGGCGCCTGGCCTGCCGAGCCCCCGCGTGGCCCCTTTGTGCTCTGTGAGGCGGATAATGGAGGGCATTCTCAGACGGCCACTCATGGGTCTGCGCCTGTCAGGGGACCCCGCTGTCCACACTGGGGCCTCTGTGCCCGCCGCCGCCCCGGGGGCCCCCACCCACATTCCCAGGCCGGGAGGCGGCGCTCCCTGGGTGGACAGGAGGCCCTGCCTGGGTCCCCGGGGAACCACAGGGAGGCAGGAAGGTCCAGAGCTGAAGGCACCCGGGTCCTGTGGGTGGCGCTCCAAGATCTGTCCTGAGAACCCCTGGATGGATGGGTAAACTGAGGCAGGCCTGGCTCAAACCCTGCCTGTCTGGCCAGGTCTGTTCCAGCCCGTGCTGAGTGGACACCTAGGGACACGCCCCTCTGGGCCTCAGTTTCCTTTTCTGTCGAATGGGCTGCTTCCTGGGAGTGGTGCACCATGAGCCGGGGCTGGGGCTGTCCTTGATGGCTCCCCGAGACCCGAGGACCTCCAGGGACCTCCGCAGCCCTGTGCTCCCTGCAGATGAGAAAGAATGACAGCCCGGCCTGGTGGCGCATGTCCGTAATCCCAGTGGCTTGGGAGGCTGAGGCAGGAGGATCACAAGTTGGAGGCCAGCCTCGGCCACTCAGCAAGAGTTCCTCCTAAGCAGCTTAGGGAGACCCTGTATCAAAATAAACAATAAAAATGGCTGGGGATGCAGCTTAGTGGTGGGGCACCCTTAGGATTAGTCCCAGTACCAAAAAAAAGGGGGACCCTCCAGTTGTTCTTCCATCCTCCCTGGTTTCCTTGGTGAACTCCTATGCATCCCTCGGAACCCAGTCCAGAGGGTCCTGCTTCTCCCCGGGCCTCCGCACCCAAGCTAAGCCACGGTGGAGGGCCGAGCGCCAAGCACAGCTCTTCCTCCCTCCCTCCCCCTCCCTCCTTGTGCAGCCTTAGCTGAGCACCTACTGTGC